CGCCATAGACGAGTACAAATATCACGCGGTATTTGTACTCGTCTATTGTAGAGTACCGGTTAAATAGGTTTTCTCGCATCGCGCAAGCGAAGAATTGGATTGTAGTTACGAAAAAAAAAAAAACTGGCGGACAATTTGAATCATATTTCCGACGAGAAAGAGTCAGAATGGCTGGCAAATATAGATCCAAGTTTATTAGATGAATCGAACTAAGAAAAACAGCTTTACAACTAGAAAATTTCTTATGAAGAAGATAGAAACTGCAACCGTGACAACAACGCGCCAATTCCGTTCCGCTTCGCATACTTCTGTCACGCACTCCCCGTAAATAAATATCCGCGAAATTCCCCCGCACTGAAATAACAATTTGGCGTGTTGGATAATAAATAACTTACTATACGTTTTGTTGTGTAGTATCGCTGAGTAGTTTTACTCGTTATTTGTAACGAGTAAAATACGGCACAACTCGTAAAAATACTCAGCGATACTACACAACAAAACGTCTAATAAGATATATGTATTTTAGGCTGAAGCGAGATAGCCTTCACATGGAGAAGTTGGAGCGTTATGACATTCCTCCCACCGTCATTGCTCAGCAAGATCGAAAGGGAATCAGGTAAAATCGGTTTTATCATCATATCCTAGTCCTTTATTTATTATTATCCTCACTTCAACACGTGGTGGACCTTGAAAATTTCTGTTCCCCAAGAGTGACTCTGAAATCAGTTGAAGGGTAAGCTTGCGAGCCAATCAATGTAACAGGTAGTTGGGTTGGAGGGACATACATGATACATCATTAATCCGTTCTTTTATTCTATTAGTCATTTATTTTGCATATATGAACTTAGAGCTAGTTAAACCTTTTCTTTAGGGAAAAGCTAGAAAAACCGCTAACATTTGACACCTACAAGGAAAAGTTTCGGCTTCTTCTCCAATTAGAAGAAATTCAAATGCGAAAAGACATCAGGCACTACGACATGAAAGAGGTAGAGCTTGAACAAGACAGAGATGACAGAGGGTTGCTGAAACTGGAGGTGAGTCTTAATTAAGTTCTAATAGTGAATATCAGTGGGCCGTTTGGGATGGTTACACTATCAAGCGTTGCTAAGTCTCCGTCGCATTTCTATCGGATGTTCACATTTCTTACTATTTCTAATCTACCACACAGCGTTCTTATATTAATATCTGATTGCGTCTGTTAAGGCTTCCTCTCCTTCCCCACTCCCCTGCTTTCATGTTGTCAGCCGTTGCTTCGCGTCAAATCTGTTACAATGGAAATAATTTACATGAAAAAATTACGCGCTTCTGATTGGCTGAAAACTAGTGCATTTTTTATGTTACACGATTGCACTGTCAAAATTTCGTCTGTCTTGACTATCTGTGATGCTTTTTTCATGTAAGTTATTGAAAAGTAGTAAAGCGATTTCTTACCTAATTTGATGTAAATAAGCGCTTGTAAATTTTTCAGACTGCAATTGTTGTCTTTGAAAAATCTACTCGTGCTTATGAACAGCACATTGTACTCGAAATCATGTTACCTATATAAAGTGGGTGAGTTTGTCTATTGTGAAAGCGTCGTTCATGATATCTAGCTTGTGGTGTAGGCGTCTTGATAGCGTTTTTGGCTCTTGATCGTTCACAGAGGCGCCATGTATAATTTAGGGTTGGAGTGGGTGGGTCAAGGGTAGAGACATGCGAATTTTTCTTCCTTATTCTTCTCTTCCTCCTCTCTTCTCACCAATCGACCACTCCTCGATAGAATTTTTTCTCTCCCCAATAACTTCCTCTGCTTTAATTATTCAAGATGGCGACAATACTCTTCGCGAAAAAGTACTGAGCGTTCGCCAAAAATACTGTTGCACTGCAGGTCACATGTCGTATGCATTTCTTTACTCCAGATTTACACCTACGGTGGTTTGAACGAGAATCGTTGCACTGGAACCTTTCCCATTCCGTAGCTTCACTTGCCACACAGTTACCAGAGGAAATTTCACGCTAAGCAAAAATACTCTTACGCGAATGAGTTTCAGTCGCTACCAGTCTTAACGCTGCTGCTTTGGAGAAGTGTGATAATATCTAAGTCGAAACAAAATTTGCCCGAAAACTATCTTCTTAACGTGTACTTCATAATACCTGTGTTCACTGTATAAGATTTGTAGGGCTTTAAACGGATGTTTTTCCACGCAAAGGCGAGGCTTGTCGTTAATTGTTCTTCGACGTTTTTGACACTAGGTACCAGGCCTTGCCGAAAATCGTCCATCGGTATTGCGTGGTGATAGAATATATGCATACGAACATGGTTTGCGTCATCATCGTTACGAAGGAATTGTCCATAAAGTTAAGCTGCAGGATCTAATACTCGGATTTGACAGGTCAAAGTACGTAACTAATAAATTAAGCAGTGTAAATTTCTTTCTTTCAAATTGTGAAGATGAAGGAGCGATGACTTGTTGTACTTGCCAAGCACAAAAAGTTGTTCGCTCGTAAGCACCAACAAACCGATAGAAATAAAAAAAAAAAAAGGAAAAAAAGGTATTTTCATCGAAAAGTCTGACCCTCGTCAGGAGGAAAAACGCGACTCCTCCTTGCTCCAAAACACCCTGGGTCTTAATGGCTTCAATATGCAGTACTACACGTAGACAAATGCAAACTGTATTTAAAATCTATGTAGGAGTGGAAATCAACTTGTGGCGTGGTTTGGCAAATTGAGATTATTTTAAAAAGACGTGCCGTATTATTTCAACTTGGTAAATTGCCATTCCTTTATAGGGGAACGTCCTTCTTTGTTGAACGTACAAGAATATCTATCTGACGCTTATTCTATAGTAAACGAGTGTGTATTCAACCGATCACTACTCGGTGTTTTTGCCCCTCAGGATACCGTTTATCAAAGGGAAAAAGTTCGACATCCAGTTCACATTTAATAGACTTACGGTGCAGATGGAACATCGCGCCTGTGAACGGATTGCGTCAGAATGCAAGAAGGACATGCGAGAAGTTCTTTTTCCACAGCAAGAAATTCTACATAGAGGCGTGATTGTTAACCAAGTGGACGATCGGTATGCAGTATTGAGACTTATTACATCGCTCGCAGCGCCCGTGGGCAAGATGAAGCGAATCCTGTGTTCTGATTGGCTACCCGAGTGGGCAAGATGGGCCCATCTTGCCCGTTTGAGATTGTCCACTTTGAGCTTACGCGAGGAAAAAGTGCTTGGAGCGTACTTACAAAGTTCCTAACTTTTGAACAATGTCGGTAACGAAGTCGCAAACAGCGGCAGAAGAGAGGCAAAACAAAGAAAACTTAAACGACATTCTTGGGGTTTAATAAGCTACAAACACAGTTAGCTTTCTTTCTCGACCCTCGAAATAATTAAGTCACTTTTGATTCTTATTAAAGCGATCCTCTATTGACCAAGCTTGCTTGTTCAAGATGGTTGGATATTAACCTCGTCCTTTTTTTTGCGTTAATATGGACTGAATCGAAAAGAAAGAACTCTGCCAATATCCAACCATCTTGACCTCACGCATGGTTTAACTTAATAACCAGGGCTCGACACTAGCTTTTCAGCTCACTAGCCAAGTGGCTAGTTACAGCTTAGATGTCACAAAAAATTTCAGTTTATTTGCTAGCCAAAGTGGCTGGTGAAAACCACTTGCAAAAAACTGAATTTCTACTAGTCTGTGGCTAGTTGGCTACCGTTAGTGTCGAGCCCTGATAACGCATATTTCCATTCTAGGCTGTTTGAATGCAACGCGTTGTCAACCCTTGAGTTACTAAGAATTGATGATGACCAACTTTTTTTTGTTTGGTTTCTTTCTGACTTGTTCGGTCCTTGACAAAAGGTTGTTGAGCTTGGTATCCTATCTTGTCAATTTAAGCGTGCTATCCAATTTTATTTTAGATCCTTTTACGATCGAAACTTAAATGATGAACAAAAGCAGGCAGTGCAGAAGATTTTGTCGGGATCGTCTCGCCCTGCTCCTTACCTTGTGTTTGGACCTCCTGGAACTGGGAAAACCGTTACTTTGGTGGAAGCTATCAAACAGGTACAGATCAGGATGTTGCTTGTTAGGCTTGCCTCTTACTCTCTATATCTCTTTTCTTTTTTCAAAAACTGATTTGGTATACAACATGAAAAATGGCTAAAACTGTGAACTCCATTTAGACACTCTTTTCTTATTCGGTTTACGTTACCAAGGTTTCCTGATTTGAAACTAGCAGTGACCTCTTTTCATTCTTAATCATCATGTTCAGATACACAAACAGATTAACTCGAGTGTCATTCTTGTGTGTGCGCCTGAAAACAGTGCCGCTGACTTGCTGGCAGAGCGTTTGTTGGATCATGTTGACAAAGGCAAGTTATTTAGGATGTATGCTGCATCAAGAACCTGGGACTCCGTGTCACTGCGTCTCAAGGTAGGGAAATCAATCCTAGTAACCATTCCAAAGTCCTGAAAACTTTCCCTCATAATTACGTGAAATTAAAAATGGACAAAAAACAAAAAACAACAACAAAAAGGCAAAGATAACCAAAATGGCTAATGAGTAGCTATCCAGTTTAGAATCTCCATTTTGAACAAAACCTTAAAAAACGTCCTTCAAGACATGATGCGACCAATGCAAAGAGTAGCGTAATTACAAATGCTCAATGTCGACCCGAGATGAATTTTAATAGGTGCGAGCATTTATTTAAAGTGACGTCACCACACCCTCATTTATTAATTTCGGAGGAACCTCCTTAACCTCGTTCCCAGGTCTTTTCTCTTCCTCACTTTCTCGAGGGAGAAAGAGAGAGAACCTTGGGAACGAGGTTGTGATTTCCCTAGCCGGTGATCCACGTTTTGGCAGAGGTTCAACTGCACTCAACCTCACTTAATTTCATATGAGCCATGGTAATTTTCAGGAGCATCAGGATCCTCACGCACAAGTGATGAATTTTGACCGTGTGACACGTGAAGTGCATTATCCCTCCAAGGAGGAATTGACGAGGAACTATCGCATAATTGTTACTACTCTGGTAACTGCAGGAAGGTAAGCTACATGATCTTAAGAGACCAGAGTGCCTAGCAACAACTCACTGGAAGATGAGAAAAAAGAAAGTTTCCTACACTGACGTCTTGTGCGACTCCAGCTAGTGATTTTATTTTTGCAAAGCGCCGGTATTGTTTCTTTGGAATGGGGAAAGATAACAATATTTCCATCATTTGGTAGTTAAAGCAAGCAAAACTGGAAGAGATTGTTACGTATGCCGCAGGGAGTAATCATTTTCCTTTATGTACTTTCAGATTGGTGTCTGCATCATTTCCCCGCCGTCATTTTACGCACATTTTCATAGACGAGGCGGGGCATGCAACAGAACCCGAGTGTATAATCCCTTTGGCGGACCTTCTGGACCCTGCTAACCCCATAGGAGGTCAGCTGGTGCTTGCAGGAGATCCTAAGCAGTTAGGACCAATCCTTAGGTGCAAAAAAACACAGGAATATGGCCTCGGTAGGTAATACACAGAGCTCAACTCAGACCCGTCGATGTCGGGGTCAGGCGCACCATCAACTGAGCTGCGGAGAAGATTTGAGAGCTTCATGTAAATCTTCATTGAAAACTAGGGCTAGGCAACCGTGCCTAATTATATTAGATGAAAACTCAATGAATCATCGTTATATGGTACACAGATACAACCCAATCCACGGTTATTTTCAGAAGTAAGCTGAGCACCGTGACTTTTTCGAGTAGCAAGTAATTAACTGAGTGTTTTTGTGCCTTACATACATACATACATACATAAACTTTATTGAAGTGTCAAGGTATTTAGCTAAAAGCTAATTGTGGACACTATAAATGAATAACATGAGTATAATATAAGATTAAATAGAGTATACGTAAAAATATTAAGGATATATTCTCAAAATATTATTAATATTCTAAAAAGCATCAATATATAAAATTGTTACAGACAATCATATAAGCAGCAATAGAATGTATATACAGAATTTAGAATGTTAGAAGTCTATAAAATTTAAATAAGACAAGTTTAATAGAGGGTAGGGGAGCACACTCCCAATACACCAGGCAGCCACACAGCAAAAGCCACTATGCATACCCACCTCTTTAAGATGAGCATGCACAGCAGCCACACGTGCTATCCAGCAAGCCAAGCACATTGAGAGCACGCACCCCTCTCCTGAATGCCTGAAGACTGGTCTTACTGCGTAGTTCCTGGCTTATCTTGCCCCATATGTGTGGGCCTAAATATCTGATACTGTGCTTGCCATACTTAACAGTATTATATCTTGGAACAGGAAAATCAGTTCGTAAGTTATAATGCTTATTTTGCTGAAAAAACATATTACATTAACTCTTTAACTCCCAGAAGTGATTAACATGTAACTTCTCCCCATAATATCCATACAATATCTAGTTAACAGGTAGTGAGAATACTCAAATTTATCAGGTAGAAGTTGTTCCCTTGATTGAACACCAAATTCTCGTAACCAATTTACAAGGAAATGTGTAGTAGCTAGAGAGGAGAATTAACAATCGGATCTCGGGAGTTAACACCTGGTTACAATAAAATCTACCTCTTTCATTTTCAGGCATTTCCCTTTTGGAGCGTTTGATGATGTCATGCAACACGTACCGGCGAGAACCAGACAAAGGTTACAATCCCAATCTGTTGACAAAACTTGTCAACAACTACCGCTCCCACAGAGACATCATCGAGATTCCCAAACAACTGTTTTACGACAATGAATTGAAAGAATGTGCTGGGGAGATTGGGTGAGATAAATAAAGAAATAAACACTACACTCCTGCGAACTCCACTACCTTCTTTAGGATATGTATAGTGAATGTTACTCCATTTATGTTTTCTATTTATTGCCCAGCCACCAAAGGCGACTCAACCACTATACACTCCCTTGCTCAATTTTAATCTCTCCTGTACATGATCAGGCTGACTGACAGACAGACGGACACGTGCAGATAGACAGACCGACCGACTGATATCTGGACCAATTCAGCAGACCGACTATTAGACTAACAGAGCAGCTGACGGTAGGATTGATAAGCAGACAGGCTGACGGAGTGGCCGGTAGAGTGAACAGGCCCACCAACTGACTTAGCACCTCATAATAGTCCTTTTTACAGTTGTGGGCTTGGTGGCCAAGCCTTTGATCAGAAGTGAGGCTAAGGGTGACCTTGTTATGATAGAGACGTTGCTGCTTTTCAAATGCAAATTTCTCTGTTATCGTGCTAACTAGATACAGGTCTCTATCACAACAGGGTCACCCTTAGCCTCACTCCTGTTCAAAGGCTTGGCCACCAAGCCCACAACTGTAAAAAGGACTATTGATGAAGGTGTTTTGAATAAAAAGGGTCAAAATTTGAAATTTACCACAGGGATATTATGCTTGACTGGGAGGAGCTACCAAATAAGAAATTTCCGATGATCTTCCACGCGGTGTATGGCAAAGACGAACGAGAAGAGAACAGTCCTTCGTTCTTTAACGTGACTGAAGTGGAAACTGTGGAATTGTACCTGAAGAAACTTTTGGATGACAAGCGCAAGCACCTTAAACCTAAGATGGTTGGAATCATTTCGCCGTACAAGAAACAAGTAGGTCAACTGTGGTAAAAAACGGCCGCATTTTATTCATAACCATCCCCCTTTGGAGTGAGAAGAAACCTTTTAGTATTTGCCATATCCCTCTTGTGGTTCTAAAGACAGCCAAGCTTCATACAACCTAAAAACTTGTCGGACAGAACAATTTCAATGAAAACTTTCTCTACCATGACTTGAAAAGTAAATTTGTAGCCTACGTTCGGCACTCACTTGGACAGTATCAGCATGATTTAAATCTTGCCGTTGCTAAAATTAACTGAACCAACACACTAGTGTTACAGAAAGTTTCAGTTTACAAAAATGTAACTTTCCTTTTCTCCTCTGCGTAGGGCATATGATACAAGTTTTTTTTTGTTTTTGTTTTTTCTAAAATTCTCTTACTTAGGTGCAAAAGATTCAGAAGATGATTGAAAAGAGACGACTCGGTTCAGGAATTAAAGTTGGCAGCGTGGAAGAATTCCAGGGACAAGAACGTATAGTGATCATCTTGTCAACTGTAAGGAGCACCAACAAAGATTACCTTGACATGGACAAAGAATTTCACCTTGGATTCTTAGACAACCCGAAGGTATAGATACCATAACGATTACATTATTGAGTTTTCAATATCGTACAAAGAGCACAGAAAAAAACATGTAAACGAACGAAAAGGCAAAAACAAAACTCAACTGTACTGATGTGCAATGTCTCTTTTAGCGATTCAACGTCGCCGTAACCCGTGCCCAGGCTCTCTTGATTGTAATTGGAAACCCAAACATGCTTCGTATGGATGAAAATTGGACAAGGTTAGTTGACTTAGTTGCAAGTGCGTTAGTTTACGTATAGCATAGCAAGAAAATATGTTCAAATCTATGTATGATGCACGATCCTTCGCAGTAGATAGCGCTAATTATGCAATAGCGAAAATCAGACCCGAAAAAAATCAGGCTTGTACGGGATTCGAACCACTGACCTCTGCGATACTGGTGCAACGCTCTACCAATTGAGCTAACAAGCCAACTGGGGGCTGGCCGTTAAATCTATCGCATTTTACTCACATTTCGTAAATCGGAATAAGAGTCATGGCCGTTTTGACTGACTGTAGCTGGTCAGTCAAAGAGGCAGTCTATAGACCACTTTCATAAATGGCTGCCGTATAAATATTCTTTTGTTTAAATTTTAGTTAGCCCTACTGGAGAACGAGGCCAGGAGGGCTAATTTAAATTTAAACAAAAGAATATTAATCCAGCAGCCATTTATGAAAGTGGTCTATTTGTCATCCGCCACTCGTGTTAACCCCCAGTTGTCAGAGATAGATAGATAATAATCTTTAGACAGGGTGCGTTCTCACAGAAGTGGTTTTCAGAACGGCCCTGTAACTACCCACCCAACCCACCCCAGGGAGGACATCCAACACCCTGCAGGAGACGGGACCTCCATTTATTCGTCCCTATCCGAGAAGACTAGAATATCTAACCATTTCTTGATGTTAAAGAAAGGAAGCATATTCCTCTCAGTTAATTTTAAGACCCTGAGTGTTGGTCCGGCCGGTATTGAACTCTCGACCTTCCGCACAGCAGTCCGGCGCTCTCCCAATTGAGCTAACCAGGCGGCGGTCAGCTAGTTTGCGTGGAAGTTGATTTTATTTTATTTGTTTATATTTTTAATCTTTGTAGACTGCTGGAGTACTGCAATGAAAACGATGCATGTGTTGGTGCGGAAAGGAACAACGAAGCTGCGAATATAGCAAACGTTCTGAGAAAACTTCACCTCTACGAAGAGGAATCACCAGGTGAATGGGTGGTTTGCACGTTACGTCATTGCTGCCATGTTGATGGACGTAAACAATAGATTTCTCATTAGCTCCTTTTGTTCATCCACCAGCATTTGTTCCGTACACCATTGTTACCTTTGTCTCTAGAGATTGGTTGCAAACCACCTATAGTCAAACTAAAGTATGCACAACGGTTTGGCCCTAAACCTTGACAAAACTCAAGCTAGAACAAAGGCTTCTTGTGGCTAAAGGAGGAACTTGGCTACACTGTGAGCTGCCACACCATACTGAGTTGTAAAAGACGAGTGTTTATAAAACTAATTGTTGCTTCATTTTCAGTTTTTGTTAGTTTCTTTGGACCTGACTGTGCACAACAAAGCATTCCATCATGTCAAAATAATTCTTCATCAGGACAAATCTATGACTTTATTCATTGATTATGCATGATGGGAAAACAAAAGATTGTGAATTATATGATCAAGGAGCTTTCAGACAAAAATGGAGCAGCACTGTTGAACTTCTGATGTCTGCAGTCTTTAAAAACCACTCTTTTTATATTTTTTATATTTAATCACTTTCACCAGAGTATGGTGAGGGTTGCACAACAGAGCAAGGCTCCAAATTAAATGCGCCCAATATCCCACCCCAGGGGAGGACATCCATCACACAGTAATCTCGTGTGTGGGAAATTAACGTCTCCTACCCCAACTCATCCTCGGAGACCCAGCGGCTGAGTCGATTTCAAGTTAGGGCATGAAGAGCCTCTTCATGCCCTAACTTGAAATCGACCCACTGCCCCTGGGTCTCCGAGGATGACCCCAACCCTACAGGAGATGGGACCTCCATCTATTCGTCCCTATCCGAGAAGACTAGAATATCTAACCATTTCTTGATGTTATAGAAAGGTAGCAAATTCTTCTCAACTATTTTAAGACCCTGAGTGTTGGTCTGGCCGGGGCTCGAACCCTTGACTTCCCGCACAACAGTCCAGCGCTCTATCCATTGAGCTAACCGGGAGGCGGTTAGCTGTCCTCTTCAAACTACAGTACATCGCAACACCTGTGCGGCAGGAGATTAAGAAGTAACTATTTTTGACTCTCTCTTTCAGAAGTCAGAGATTCAGAGATCAGTCAACGTCAACTACAAGAACAACCAGAGTGGCCGAGGCGGGAATGATTTTCTGCTGCACTAGTCTCACAAACACGTCTCACCTAAGTCTGTGGAACGCTTCTTGGGAGTTGTTCCTGGCATGAGTCATGTCTCAAAGGGTTGCACACTCAGATTTCAATTTAAGTTCTAACTAGCCAATTTTTTGCAACTGGGGTTGTCTTAACATGATTGCAGGAAGGTGTGTAAGCATGTGATGGGAACGTTCAAAGGTATTAGATGTGGAATGGTGAAATAACACAAGTGGCCACAAATATGGTGCCTTAAGTTTTTGAAATATACAGGAAGCAGAAATTAACAAACAAAAATCAAGACCAAAATATTGCAACAAAAAAAAAAAAGGCCATGGCAGTTGAAAACAAAAAGAAAGTTAATAATGAAATAAATCTCAGTGCTTTAGCTGGTGGTTTTGATCTGAATTCTTCAGTTCAAATACAATGCCTCCCTCATTTTGCTTATTATAAATCCAAAGTGGCAGGCACTAGAATTTTATACTCTTTGAAATTATTTACAAATTGGTGGCATTCATCATTAGCTATCAGCGACTATTTATTTCTATAAACCAGAGGGAACATGGTTCAATTTATCATTATAACAACTATTTAAGTTTGAACAAGGCTGGAAATAAACATAATACTTTACATATAAAATTATTTTACATTCTGTGTATTTAATAAGGAAATAATAAAATTGCAAAGAAGTGTTGACAAAATATGACCAGTACATGTGATACATGAATAAATCCTTCATTTACAATATAGTGTTTAGTTTGCAAAGAAGTAATTATGCATAGTGCTCTCTTGTCTCTGTTTCATTACTCCTAAGTAAAATTCTAAATTACCTAAAAAAAAATTATTAATAACTAGCAATATTGTTGCAATACTATATTTGCTGGACAACAGAAAAGATGTCCGGAAAGTTATGTTCTTGCTGAAACAATACCGTTGGCACTCTGTGGGATTCTTGTCCACAAGTTTTAATTCTGTTGTTGGAGCTCATTTCAAGTTTGACCCACCAGGAATGCTTGACAAAGCTAAAGTTCTGCAGATTTATATTTGTTTTTGTCTGTTATCTCCTACAGTCTGTCATTTGGAATATTCCATTAAGTCTTGATTGAAGATTTCTTGTAGCACTGCCCTTGCTCATCTTTTCCACCTTTGCTTGACACATGTCAATTCCTTCATATGAAGTATAGCTATTACTTGCCATTTCCATCAAGAAGATCTTTTGCTTCATTTATTTTTGCAGCAAGATACGGGGAGCCTCCTGCAAGACAACTTAGGTATTTAATCAAAGAGTCCACTTCAATTAACTTTTACAAAGAGGTTTGCAAAAATAGTAGTTAGCAAACTTTCTTGCATTTTCAGTTTCCTGTGATGCCACATTGAAAATCAAGTTTAATATATATCAAACTATGACATCATGATCAAATCCCATCTTCACTCAAATTCTACATAGAAATGTTTGCGTTTTTGGTTGATTTCATCTCAGTGATTTATCATTTTTCTACATACCTCTGTCAGGGTGATTTATCAGCATTATTCTTCTATGTGCCTCTCTAACTTTGGCCTTGCTTGCTGAAGGACTGTAAAAATGGGGTTATAAGTACTTAGATTTCCTAGATAGGCAAAAATATTACTGAAATATAATTTAACTTTGTTGTACTTGTATTATTCTGTCTCACAAGTTCAAATTGATTATTTCTACTGAAAACAAGATTACCAGGGAAAAACAATCATAATTTACTTTCCCAGTATTGATGATGTACCATATCATTTGTGTATTACATTAACAGCCACCCAATTCATCATGTATGATCTCATAATGAATAACATCAAAGTTAATGTAAATCAGACTGAACTCCATCTGTACCTCACTCCCAGTACCAAGCCAGCTTCTCTTTTTGTCATTTTAGGTTCAAATCCTCCTCTGTAATAATGACTGAACTCCTGTTAATTGAAAAATATTGCATACTTAAATTAAAGAAATATATCTATATAT